CCCCCTACCGCTGAATTTGTCTCCAGAAAGCAGCAAGAAACTGGTATTTAATAATTGGTAGCTGTTTTAATAATAATTTGAGATTTGTTTTTAATATTTTCCCCCTACCGCTGAATTTGTCTCCAGAAAGCAGCAAGAAACTGGTATTTAATAATTGGTAGCTGTTTTAATAATAATTTGAGATTTGTTTTTAATATTTTCCCCCTACCGCTGAATTTGTCTCCAGAAAGCAGCAAGAAACTGGTATTTAATAATTGGTAGCTGTTTTAATAATAATTTGAGATTTGTTTTTAATATTTTCCCCCTACCGCTGAATTTGTCTCCAGAAAGCAGCAAGAAACTGCTTGTGAACCACTTCTGGGTGATTGCCAAGAAAAGCCTGTGCAAACATGTCCCTAAAGTCATGGGAAGAGTTCTTATTATTTTATTTGACTTATTTTATTTCAGCTCAGTTATTGAGCTACCGTTCCATTTTATGGACTTTTTTTTTTAACCACTGCAGCTTCTTTGCAGTGGATTGCAAATTTTAATGCAAGTCAGGAACTAAAAATATTGCCACTCGGTTGGCTTTATTTTTATTTTTATTTTATTTTTATTTTTTTAAACATTTATAGGCCGCCCTTTTCCCTGAGGGGACTCAGGGCGGCTTACAATAATAGGGGAGGGGAGTGCAGGCTTGAGCTTCATCGGGGTGATCCTATGGGCAAGAGAAGGGAAGTGCTCTACTTTTAAGAGCTGAGGCAGATTTTCAACAGATACAGTCTCAGGCTGGCTTCCCCCATCCCAGGAGTGAAATTCAGCAGGTGCTCACAGGTTCTGGAGAACCAGTAGCGGAAATTTTGAGTAGATTGGAGAACTGGCAAATGCCACCTCTGGCTGGCCTCAGAGCGGGGTGGGGATGGAGGTTTTGCAGTATCCTTCCCCTGCCACGCCCACCAAGCCACGCCCACAGAACCGGTAGTAAGAAAATTTGAATTTCACCACTGCCCCAACCCCTGAATGTTTTGCCTCGCACCCTCAGACTTACCAATTGCAGCTTCCACTTCAATGATTTTTATACTCTCTACTGCCAATTCTTCTGCTAACCTCTGAGCACCAGAAAATATTTCATATTCTAAAAGGGGTTTGCAAAATTAAAGTCAGACAGAGCTCAACAAGCAAAACTTTTCCATATACCTCTCTATACACTCTATGGTAGAGGCACAGAGCTGGATAGAGCATTTAGACATTCAGTTCTAATTTTGTTTAAGGCAGGAATCTAACAACAAAAAAACATCCTTAATAGACATGGGTCCAGCAAAGGAAGCCCACCACCCATATAGATCCATGGCTATTTTCTCAGAAGATTTTTCTAGCATTTCTACAGGAGATGAGGGGGCTGAACCCGATGGTGGGGTCAACTGCATTGTTACTTATGACCTGAGGATTTCAACTCCCAGAATTCTTGAATCTGCATGGTTCAGCAAAAAGCCTGATTGGAGTAATAAAGAACGACAAGGGGAAAATATGTAATATGATGAGAGAGAAATTGTTGGCATTTCAGAAGTTGTTTAAAAAGCTATAAAGACATAAATGTGAATGAAAGTCAGGTATATATAGAAAAGAATTTAAATTGCAAAATTCAAAAAACGGTAAAGAAATAATGGAATCACAAATAGAAGAAAAGGAAATAGTGGAAGTTATTTCAAAATTTAAAATAGGTAAGGCATCAGGGTTAGATGGATTAGATGTAGAATATTATAAAAATTTCAAAGGACTATTGGTGCTGAAGATTAAGATAATTTAATAAAATAATGAAAGGGGAAAATATTCCATGTTCCTGGAAGCAATCCTTGATAATACTGATAGCGAAACCATGTAAAGATCATGCAAACCCAGGATCAAACAGACCAATATAATTTATTAATCAGGACGCTAAAAATAGGTGATCCTATAGAAACATATTAGTTTAAAAAGGATATTAAAAAAATGTTAGGAGGATTCAAAATCCCTTTTTTAAAAACTTGAGGGAATTATGGAATAAATGGAGATACCGGCTAATGCCAGGAAATTCTCCATTAACACAAGAGGTGGAAATGGAGAAATTCCCTAGGATTGAATTGAAAGAATGGATTAGTAAACTAAAAGAAAATAAGTTATATAAATGGGAAGACTGGAAGTACAACATGAAGAATATAACACAACTAAAGAATGTTTTAGCAGATATTAAATTAAATTGGCTGAATTTGAAACAATTAGAGAAATGGATAAAAGTGAAAGAAAGATTCAAGGAGAAAGATAGACAGTTAACAAAATTTGAAATAATTACAAAAGAATGTGAGATGAATGAAAAATATATAGGGAAAGGACGAATTGGGAAAATATATAGGATATTAACTCAATTAGAAGAGCAGGCAAAAGGTTAAAAATTAATTTAGGAATCAGATTTGGGAGAAAATTGATAATATTTGGAATAGAAGAGTATATAAGAATATGTCAGTTAGAGTTAAAAAAAAATGGATATAAAGTGATATGGAGGTGGTACCCAACACCACGTAAATTAAATCAAATAGACAGTAAATATACAAATATTTGCTGGAGGTGCAAGAAAGAGGTTGGAACATATAAACATATGTGGTGGGATTGTGATAGTGCTCCAAAATTTGGGACGTGGTGTTTAGAGTAATTGGAGCACTGTGGAATGTAAATTTAGATATGTCACCAAGGATTGCATTACTGTTGCTGGTGGAAAAACGGGATATAAATGAAACAAAAAAGGAATTGATTGTAAATTGGATAATGGCAGCTAGATTAGTGATGGATAAATATTGGGGACGAAATTGGGATATGCAAAGAAATGAGTGGTATAATGAAATTTGGAGTAGGGCAGCAAATGATAAATTAACAACAGAAATTAAATTTTAAAAGGATGATTAAAGCAAATAATTATAATGAACTATTTTTTAAAATAAAGTCAGTGTTGATGGAAGGCAAAGGGAATATACCTACTCAAAAATATATGTTGTTTTGGAGGGGATAAGGGCACAATTGGAATATATTGTATATCTTTTAATTGTTATAGATGAAGAAATATAAGGGTTAAAAAAAGGACTCTGGGGGTAGAGGTGCACTATAATATTTGTGTTTTTTCCCCTTTTTCTCCCACTCTTTTGTATTTACGATGTTTGTATTATTTGTATTTCTAAATAATTAAATAATTTTTTTTAAAAAAAAAAAGGAATTCTGAGAATTGAAGTCCACAAGCCACAAAGGCATCTCCTACAGCACCTCTGCTGTAGGAGATGACCAGGATGAGTTCCAGGGTGGGGTCAAATGCTCGATCAGTCTGGAGTCACTTCACTAATACAAGAGACCTAAATACAGCACCCCTGCTCCCACTCCTCCTTAACTTCTGTTGACTCTTATCTAGCACTGTGCCTTGAGTAGTGTACTTCAGATTCTTGAAACTGGGTAGCATGTAATAAATTTGAAGTACTTTGAACCAAACGCTTGTTCCTGGTTACCTGCACCTGACAATTTCTGTCATATTCCTACGTTTTCTATTATTTAAGCAAGGGTTTTCTGTCCGTATTACAAAATATATAGAAAAAATTATGACATAATAATAGCAGAGTTGGAAGGGACCTTGAAGATCTTCTAGCCCAAGACCCTGCTTAAACAGGAGACTCTGTTCCAGTGATGGTAGCAATAGCAATAGCAGTTAGACTTATATACCGCTTCATAGGGCTTCCAGCCCTCTCTAAGCGGTTTACAGAGTCAGCATATCGCCCCCAACAACAATCCGGGTCCTCATTTTACCCACCTCGGAAGGATGGAAGGCTGAGTCAACCTTGAAGGAAGGAAGGAAGGAAGGAAGGAAGGAAGGAAGGAAGGAAGGAAGGAAGGAAGGAAAAGGATGGAGAGAGAGATAGAGGGAGAAGGAAGGAAGGAAGGAAAAGGATGGAGAGAGAGATAGAGGGAGAAGGAAGGAAGGAAGGAAAAGGATGGATGGAGGGATAGGAGAGAAGGAAGCAAGGAAAAGGATGGAGGGAGGGATAGAGGGAGAAGGAAGGAATAGCAATAGCAGTTAG